GCAATCTCTCCCCACAGGTAGTTGGGTATTCTTGTCTTTGATAGACTCTGGTGCGCAGTATGTGGGGGTACTGGAGATATGTTGGCAGGGTTTGTGTTTTGGGCTGAAGGAAGTTGGCTTCTGGTGATGAGGTTAGCCAGGTTGGGTGCTTGTTTGAATTTACAAACTGCTTTTCACAGAGGAGCCTATGAACTTTACTTTATCAACCTCCTAGATACAGAAACTCATGGACTCAAGACGGACATTGGAATTATGACATGCTACAACCTACCGGACATCTGACTTCCCAGGTAGCAGCAGCTACCTCTCCACTTTTACCTGCTATGTCCCCCTTTCCCCGACCCCAGCCTGTCTCTCTCACCCCCTGACTCCTCCATTTCTATTTTCACTGACTGCCTTTCTTATCTGCATTGCATGCCAACCTCTGGCTTCTTTCCTATTCCTTCCATCCAGCAAGAGCACACACACCAACTGCAGGGGCTACCTCAGCCTGGCAAAGGGTTTTTCAACATGAAAGCTTGCTAAGATATATTTCTCTAACTCTTCAGTTGGTCTCCTAAAAGATAGCAGATTGACCTAAAGAACAGTGGCTGCCAGTGCCAAAGCCTTACACCAACACCCCTAGCACAGGTCCCCAGTCAGCTGACCGGAAGGAGGCAGGGCCCTATCTATGTACATCTAATCCCCAGGGCTGGGGTTGGCAGGGAGAGTTCTCTGTGAGCTCCTGGAGAAGCAGCTCCTGCAGGAAAGAAAGAAAGGCTCTGTGACACAGTGGCTGCCTGAGATGCTGCTAGTGCTACTGTGCTGCTTACTTACCTCTTCTTATTTAAAGTGGTGGACTGGGATGAGGCTGTAGGGGAGGAGAAGCCCTCACTGGGGCACACTACTGTGTCATGTAGAGGCCCCAGCCCGAGTGAGGGTGCACCTTAACACACACACAAAGTCACACGTGTCATGAGTTTTGCTTGTCAGCAGCCTGAGGTGCAATTTCCCAGAAACCCCTGCACCTATCTCCTTGAAGCCTGGCAGGCATCATGGCCTCAGCAGGGGCTACCATCCTTGCAAATTTTATCTGAGTCAGCCAAAAAATGATAAGGTTACAGGGATTTCTCTGATTCCCAATTATAGTCTATGGCTGAATCTCCGAATCTCTCCGAATCAGAGCCAAATCTTCCAAAGCCAATTCAGCCGACTAGACTTGAGACAGTGATCTGAATCTCTGTATCGAATCACTGTCCTCCAAATCAGCTGAATCTGAATCAAATGCTTGCCTGTTCGCACAGGCCTACTCTGGACCCTTCCTCCACACCCCACACTCCTACGGTCAACTTCAGGGGCTCGGCTAGAATCCTTCCATGATCAAACTGTGTCTTCTCCAGGCAGCCAAGGACTTACTGCATTAATTGTGGGGAAGAAGTGACCCGGACCTCCTCTCCCAGCAGCATTATCCTGCCTTGTACTTACATTGGAACAGAGGGAAAATGTGAAACCCTCCAGCATCCCTGCAAGAAAAGACAAGTCCAGACTCAGCCCTTTCCACACTCCCACCCAGACTCCAGAAATAGCTCAGAAAGAGCAGAATGTCGAGCACCAGCTTGGCCTACACAAGGGCTAAAAACACACCAGTCAGACACAGCAAAGGGACGGGCCTCGCAGGGAAGTCCCAGGCAGCCACAAGCTGCTGCAACAGCTGCACCAAGGACAACTGGACTCCAGCCATGGGAGGTCACAAAGTCTAGGTTCCCGTATCAGTTCCAGCACTGACCCTGCGCTCCTGGGCAGCCTGTCTGAACAGCATGCTGCAACCATGCAACCCGGCAACCACACAACCTGGCCTCCTGATCCGGCTCACTTCATCAGACCAATTGGTGCCGTAAATGATGAGCAAGTTGTCCTCATGGCTCTGAACTAGGGGTGTGCAGAGTTTTGGGCGTCGATGCGATTTGGAGGCTGAATCACTGAGTCCGAATTGAATTGGGAGCCATGGACGTTACACACACATACACAGAGAAGAAGAAGAAGAGATGTTATATACTTACACACACATGCAGAATAAGCACAAGACACAAGAAGCCAGGCACATACATCAGAGAAGAAGAAGAGATATTATTTTAGTTACAAACACATACAGATTAAAAACAACACAAAAGAAGAAGTCAGACACACAAACCATAGAAGAAATATTCTTAAACACCACACAGAAGAAGACAGACACAGTCATAAATCAGAGAAGACATCACATATAGTTATTACTTACACACACATACAGACTAAACACAACACAGGGACACCTTAGACAAAAGCTGAGTCCCACATGCATATGGTACAGGCCCAGCCCTGGCACAGAAGAGGGAGCACTGCGGGGTCCCGCTGGGTCCCTGTGGTTTGGAGAAGCGCAGAGTTGCGCCGGGTCCCCATGGTTTGGGAGCTTTGTGGGGTCGCGCTGGGTCCCCGTGGGTCAAGAGGAGTATGGGGCCATTGTGGGTCCCCATGGGCTGGGAGCAGTGTGGGGTCATGCTGGGTCTCCGTGGGTCGCGAGCAGTGCGGGGTCATGCTGGGTCCCCATGGGGTCCACATGGATGACTACACAGTCCAGTGGGTGGCGAATTGGCTAGATGGTCGCACCCAGAGAGTCATGGTGGATGGGTCGGTTTCGACCTGGAAGGGTGTGGGCAGTGGGGTCCCGCAGGGCTCGGTCCTTGGACCAATACTCTTTAATGTCTTCATCAGCGACTTGGACGAGGGAGTGAAGTGTACTCTGTCCAAGTTTGCGGATGACACAAAGCTATGGGGAGAAGTGGACACGATGGAGGGCAGGGAACAGCTGCAAGCAGACCTGGACAGGTTGGACAAGTGGGCAGAAAACAACAGAATGCAATTCAACAAGAAGAAATGCAAAGTGCTGCACCTAGGGAGGAAAAATGTCCAGCACACCTACTGCCTGGGAAATGACCAGCTGGGTGGCACGGAAGTGGAAAGGGATCTTGGAGTCCTAGTGGACTCCAAGATGAACATGAGTCGGCAGTGTGACGAAGCCATCAGAAAAGCCAATGGCACTTTATCGTGCATCAACAGATGCATGACAAATAGGTGCAAGGGGCTGATACTTCCCCTCTATCGGGCGCTGGTCAGACCGCAGATGGAGTACTGCGTGCAATTCTGGGTGCCACAATTCAAGAGGGATGCGGATGGCTTGGGTCTAGCAAGCATGAGGAGACAACCAGATTCGAAAGTACAGTCATAAGGCTTGTTATAAAAACATTAAACGCTGGTTAAATTGGCATTATAAGCCCTACAGAATAAACATTTCCATAATTTTGAGAAATCCCGAGGAAAGCATGAGCTTCAACTGCTGGAATTGCGAGTCACACTTTAACCATGCTTTTCAGAACCATGTTAATATGTTAAAGTGATGCAAATTTAGTAAAGAGGCTTGAAATATGTGGCCTATCAAGGACATCCCCCTACAACTTGTGAGGTGAGGAAATACTAAAATAGGCAAAGTTTATGCATATGTAAAAAGAGTGGTGTCAATAGTATATCAAGGACATCTTTAAGAGCCCAAAGTGGGGAAGGAAAACAGCACCAGAATGTAACCATCCACTATCTCATTGCTTCAGATACCTTTCTCCTAAAGGACTGCATGAGGAACAATACAAATACTGGTCACTATTTGCTTCTCTCTCCTTTGTCAGAACACAGTTTTTCCATTTTCTCTTGTAGCTTGGCTTGGGGGATGAACCCGTCCAGGTAACCATGGATTAAATAATTCTAAATCTGGTTAATATTCCAAATGGCAGGGGGAGGAGGGAAAGCTACACCATCCAGTATATCCACAAGGTGGTCCTAACCTAAGGAAGACAATTTTGCAGTCTCTCAGCTAAAATCAAGTTCCTACCAAGTGAACTGTTTACTAACTCGTAAAGTGACAGGGTTTCTCTGCCATACAGTGCAAATATATATTGCCCAGCCCACCCTCCATTCCTGTTAGAGTCTCACATCAACAAATTATCAATACAGAGGGCATGGCAGGGTTGTGAGGCAGCCCTGCCCTGTAAGTCCCCAGTAAGAGACATCAGGGCACTCAAAGGTACATGCACTTGCCCCATGGATACTGCTGATCACGTTTCTAGAGCAAATATCTTCCCCCTATGGCTTATATTATGCTATACACCGATGATCTGTATGTCAGTTAAGTACACAGGGGGCACATCTACATGTACACTTTAATGCGCATTAGCCTGTTTTCATGCACATTAAAGCATCACAAAAACATGCTCTTTAGCCAATTAGCATTACGATAGGCTAAAGTGCATTTTTCTAGTACTTGACAACGTGGGGGACATGCATTAACTTGCGTTAGGTAATGCACACTAAATCTCGTACCTCCATTGTGAGAAACTAAAAAAATGAGCATTAGCCAGTCTTACTGCGCATTAAATAAAGCGCACCTGTGATGTGTAATACACATTACCCTATTTTAATGTGCATTAACTAAATAGCGACATTTTAATGTGCATTAAAATAGGCTAATGCACATTAAAGCACATGTGTAGACGCACCCAGAAGTACTAAATTTAATGTGCATTACCTTAAGAGCATTAATGAATATGTAGATGATTCAGCTCTATTTTGTAAGCTAATTATGCTCTCTTTAGCTGCATACTTGGTAAAACTATGAACTGTCCATTTGGAAACTCTTACCAGAGACATAAGGTTCTAGGAGAGGAAAAAATATAATAAGATGTAATGAGGTATGAAAATATTGGCACAGGATGTTCTGTAATTTAGAAGACCTGTTTATACTCCTTCTGGGTGAGTGCATAAGTTTTTTCTGTCCTCAGGCCACCGAATTACAGCATACATTATAAGCAGGAATAACACTACTCCAAGACTCTCAGTTATCATATAAGTAAGCAATAGTTCTTCTAAACACAATTATTTCTTACTTTAGAAAGCAGGAGAGAAATACAAAAGCAGATAAAACAGGAAATACCTACCAATGGTCCCCTGTCTTCATTTCCTCACCCTCTGAAATGCTCTTTGGGTTTGGATCCAAGTCTTCTGGGGGCTTGCCTACATACAGCTGCAGCATTTCGTGGCCAAGGCATGCCCAAGACTGGCCCACTAACACACCTGCAGGCACATTCCCAAACCCAGAAGTTTGCAAATAAGGCTACTCAGAAACATGGCTATGAAACTGCTCTCAAACCTCCACCTGCTCTCACTTGGTAGCATCCTTGCAAGCAGCCACTGAAGCAAAGTCCCAGTGCATGGGTGCACCCTGGCCAGGACACACTACCACTGTGATGAAGAAAGGCCAGGGGTACTGTTGATCCATCTTTTGCAGCTTGCTGCTTCTCTTTCAAACCATGGACATCCTCTCCACTAACTATCTACAGTCAGTACCTTTCCACACTCTCAAATGGAGAGTGTGGAATAGCAGGGAGAGATAAGCCTGGTTTGCTCTGCACATTACTCTTTTCTTTGTCCAAGGATGCTCCAGGTACTCCAAACAGAAGACCCAAATGTAATCCTTCACGCTAGCCTGGCAACTATAACAGGAACTATTAAGGCAGAACTTACTAAGTGATAACATACAGGAACCTAATGTCCTGCACAGGATGTTATACCTCAGTGCAGTGTATCCCCATAACTTAACTGGGTGCTGGCTACCTGGCAGCACACAGGCCACATGCAGCTCTTAACATGCTCCCATTCAGCTTCCATTACCCTTATCATTCCAGATGCCGCAGCAGCTAGGGTCTTGGGGCTTCCCCTCCCTCCTCCAGCAGGTGGAGTGAGGCAGAGAGGCACAGACTACAGTGCCAAGGAAGCCAGCAGCACAAAGCACCTGTGGGGTATGGTGCCACTGTGATGAAGAAAGGCCAGGGGTACTGTTGATCCATCTTTTGCAGCTTGCTGCTTCTCTTTCAAACCATGGGCAGCCTCTCCACTAACTATCTACAGTCAGTACCTTTCCACACTCTCAAATGGAGAGTGTGGAATAGCAGGGAGAGATAAGCCTGGTTTGCTCTGCACATTACTCTTTTCTTTGTCCAAGGATGCTCCAGGTACTCCATACGGAAGACCCAAATGTAATCCTTGACGCTAACCTTAACCTGGCAACTATAACTGGAACTATTAAGGCAGAACTTACTAGGTGATAACATACAGGAAACTAATGTCCCGCACAGGATGTTATACCTCAGTGCAGTGTATCCCCATAACTTAACTGGGTGCTGGCTACCTGGCAGCACACAGGCCACATGCAGCTCTTAACATGCTCCCATTCAGCTTCCATTACCCTTATCATTCCAGATGCCGCAGCAGCTAGGGTCTTGGGGCTTCCCCTCCCTCCTCCAGCAGGTGGAGTGAGGCAGAGAGGCACAGACTACAGTGCCAAGGAAGCCAGCAGCCAAAAGCACCTGTGTGGTATGGTGCAGAGCAATGTAGCGGAGAAGCCCACTGCCAGTCAGCCAAAGGTGAGGTGGGGTGCCCAACTATGTGCCTATGCAGTGTTGGGAGTGGGAGGAAGGAGAAGGGGAGGCTGTGGGGCATGCAGCCCCTGGCAACTTAGAAGTTGGACACTCTGACTTAATCACACTGAGCTCCAACAGACGTGCAAGGAGCCAGCTCCGACTCGCTGGAAATCTAGTACATGAGAGCAGACTTGATTGATCGAGTCTGCTAGAGCACAGAAATAAACGTGTACCAGCAGACTCCAGCATCATGTGTATCAGTGTTCCTGCACTGAGAAACGGCGGTGGGGGTGCTCATTTGATGAGCTGCCATTTTTCAGTGCAGGGGACACTGATACACATGAGGCTTTGGTGCTTTTAATTAGGCCGGTGCTCTTGGACTATCTCACCTGCAGCTCTAGCCTTCCCTGGAGGAAGGAAGTTACTTAGGCAGGGTGCTGGGACACCATTATGTGGCCTCCATACTGTGGTAAAAATATGTTATAATCTAGTCATTATGATTTTGCAATAACGTTTGTATAGCAGCTGTGTGGTAAAAATGTCTCATCTCACTACACAAAGGCTTCACAGCTGAGAACTGTTTGGCTTCACTACACAATTGCTTCTGCTAAGGCATATAGGCCAATGATAGATTTACGAGTAGCACTAGACTTCTGCAGACATAGCCAAGAACAGATGCAATAAATAACTCCTTACGAGAGATAAGAGAAGAGGCACAGGGAAAGATGCTGATGTAAAGAACTCAGACCCTGACCGAAGAATGACCGAGATGGGCTTAAAGACGGCCCCAGGGAGGAGATTTAAGATGTAAATGAGACATGTATGTAAACCGTCATAGAACATGTAACTGCTAGACATATGTTGCAAGACATAATACTTGGGCTGCCAATAATTACGCGACACATTAGAATCTTTTGTTTATGTTAGCTATAAAAAGGAACCCCAGACTCTGTTTGGGGTCGACACGGATTTGAGCATTAAGCTCCCTTGTCGAACTTGTTTGCAAACAATAAATCTGAAATTGGACCCAGCCTGTGTGTGTGACTCTCTCCTAGAGGTGGATTGGACAAGCCTCCAGGGGCACGAAACTAGCCGTTTGTGCAACAATACCTCCCCTTACAGCCACTCCTCATCCAAGTGGTGATGCCTACCCCATCTTGCCCTTAGTCCTCAATGTAGAATGAGATGCATTGCTGGGTTGTAACCTTTCCAGCTGTGGTTTCTGAAAGAAAACTATGTATCACCCAAATTAGGAAGGAATATGGTACCTACTTTGACAGGAACGTTGTGGTGCTGAGGAGACTTTGCCATGAGTGAAAAATGTATATTGGGACCATCATTAGCACTTGCAGCTCTCTCTCTCTTTAGCTGATGTTCTAGATACAAGGAAGGTTATTTTAGTGGACAAATGAAAAAGACAGGAGCCTGAAGGGAGGGAACTTGCAGAGCTTGATAAACCCTCTTGGGAGCAGGTGCTTTAACTGGTATCTTAACACTGCTGACTATTGGAGAATGCAAAGTCTAAAACTAAATTCGAATCCAAATAAATTTGTGCAACTGGTGCTCTTCTCGGAAGGGGATGAATCAAAACAGTGAGCAGAGGCAGCAAACAGAGCAAGCAGTTTGCAAGTCAGTTCATGGGCCAATTTGTAGCCCCTCTCTTTGCAGGGGTGCCTTTTAGGACTGTGCGAGTCTTCGGATCCGTACCCACTTTGCATGCTTCGGCATCCGAAGCAGCACTTTTGGGTCAATGTGGGATCCCAGTAATAGTGTCTGGAGTAGGATAGGGGCATCCGAAGCACTTTGGACCCACTTCATGTGCTTTGGAGCTGCTTCGGCCATTTTGAGGGAATTGAAGAGGGAGAAGGAGTGGGGGAGGGACGGAGAGTGAGAGCAGGGGAGGGAGGGGGAGTGGGGTGGGGGCAGGAAGACTGACATCTGTAGGTAGCCAGTGAGAAGGATTTCTCCCTGGCTACCTTTCTAATGGCAGCGTCTGTGGGTGGGACAAAAAAAGTACAAAAGCCCCTGTTTCAGGCCTTTCTATACCTTTTGCAGCTGGTTCCTTGTCAGCAGGTGTACGAGAGAGGAATGCTGCGACTGAACCCTGCCTACTGCTTTTTCATGTTCTAAAGGAGTGGTTAGGATTTAGCTTAGCTTAGCTATTCAATTCAATTATTAATAGTGTTACAATTCAATTTATTTCTTTGAATGCTTTTTTTGGGAACTTTTTTTGGAAACTTTGCAAAAAGACAGTTGTGTTTTCCCAGCCAATGTTATCTATCGCTGCATGCACACACGCACACACACACACACACACACACAGAAAACCAGAATATAGAAAAAAAATCACAGCAGAAGAAGACAGACAGATATTTACAGAAGAGCAAGACAGATAATATATTGAGACACAGGAACACACACAAATAATTTCATTCACACCACAGGATAGACACAGATATTCACAGGAGAACAAGACAGACAGATATACAAAAGGATTCACACACACAGAGACCTTTTGCAGCACAGGAAGATCAATATGAAGTGTGCTGGAAAGGCAGATGCCAGGTCTTCTGGCAGAGGAGGGGAGGGGGTAAGGAGAGAGCTAGAGCTGCAAGCCCCCACCCCATCCCAAACACCAACGCATTCTATTCCCGAGCAGCCATGACATCAGTGCTGCCAGTAGAAGCCAGGTGGTGGGAGAAGTGTCTGCACCTAATGTCCCTGCATCTGTACCACCTCTGCTCAGTCCAGAAGTGGGCACCAGCAGTGGAATCACTGTCTCTTCCATCCCAATTTCAGCTCTCAGCATGAGCCTCCCATTGCCAGAGGAGGAGCTAGAGCTGGAGCTAGAGCTGGAACCAGGGATGCTGAGTGCTGGCTCAGGCGATTCTGGGGACTGAGGGGGAATCAGAGTTTGTGCTCCACACCCCTCACGTTTCCCCTAGACCCAGGTCTCCGGAAAGCAGCACCTCGGAGGAGGCTGAGGTTGTGGAGGCAAATGGCTCAGCTGAGGCAGCTCTTCCTACTGTTGAGCCTCAGCCTGCTGAGAAGCGGGAAAAGGCAGGATCCTTGCCCTCAACCAGGAAGCAGGGGAGTAGTGTATTGTGGGATCATTTTGAGGTGGCAGATGATGGTGGCATTTTGAGGTGGCAGTTTGCCATCTGCCAGCACTGCTGAAGGCACATGAGCCATGGCAAGGACGTGAGACACTTCTCCACCATGGCCATGCTGCTGCATCTAAGGAGGCACCACCCCCTTGCCCCTCTTCCTACTGCTCAGCCTGGCACCAGTGTGAGTGTGCTGAAAGAGAAGTCCCCCGCTCACTCCAAAGCCCCCTTACCCCCAAAGCAGAGGCAGGCCACCCTGGACCAGTGAGGGAATGATGGACAGAAAGGGGGGGAGTGTTCCCAAGGCCGAGGTGCTGGATGAGTCCCACACGGCAAGGGAGATCAAAGAGGCCATGAACCGTATGGTGCAGGGATGGCTTGTTGGGCAGGCCGAGCTCATCGGCGGGTTCATGGTCACCGACAACAGGGCCAATATGGCGAAGGCGGTCCGTGATGCCAACTTTGTTGGCATCTGCTGTGAGACACACAGGTTGCACCTAATAGTGAGGGATGCCTTGGAGGGGGACAGAGCTGCCGGTGACGGCGCCACCACCAGTACTGCTACAAGCCAGCTGATTTCAAAATGCAGGAAGGTGGCGGGCTACTTGCACCGCAGAATCAAGGGGGGCAAGATGCTGCGGGAGAAACAGGCAGAGCTCAGCATCCCGCAGCACAGAATCATACAGGATGTGGAGACTCGGTGGAACTCCACATACCTGATGCTCGAGAGGCTGGTGGAGCAACAGAAGGCCATCCATGAGATGGCCTCACTTGGGGAGATGCGGATCAGTGCCCCCCTGAACAGAGTTGAGTGGGGTACCATCTCCCAGATGTTGGTGGTCCTCAAACCCTTCCTCGAGGCCACCAAGACCCTTAGCGCTGGCAATACCCTCCTCAGCCAGGTGATCCACCTCGTGAGGGAACTGGAGAACCAAATGGAGAAGTTCCAGGGGATCAATGTTCCTGGCTGGGGCAGGCAGCTGTCACCAGACGTGCAGGCACTGGGGAGGGGGCTGAAGGAGGGCATCAGGAGATGGCTGGATCCCTTGCGGTCCAGTATGATGGCAGGCATGTGTGACCTGAGGGTGAAGGGGAGCATGTGCACTGGCAGCCCCAAAACCCTTGATCACAGGTGCTGGTGAACAAAGTCAGGGAGGCCAAAGCGCAGAGGCAAGGGGATGTGGAAGAGGGGGATCCACTTTCCTGTGCCAGCACTCCCAGCACCAGCACTGGCACCAGCACCGGCCAATCTCCTCCATGCCAGCTACTGCCAGTGTGGGCCATGGACATGGCTTCAATGTTGGGGTCCAAACGTATCAGACCCCAGCATCGGGCAGGTAGTGCCGAGTCTTCAGTGGCTATCTATCTCGCTGAGGATGTGGAGCCACTGGAATGTGACCCCTTGGCCCACTGGGCAAGCCGCAG